AGCTACTCGGGAGGCTGAGGCAGGAGGATCGCTTGAGCCCAAGAGTTTGAGGTTGCTGTGAGCTAGGATGATGCCACAGCACTCTAGCCCGGGCAACACAGTGAGACTCTGTCTCAAAAAAAAAGAAAAAATTGCTTTGGCTATTTGGGCTCTTTTCTGGTTCCAAATGAAATTTAGGATTATTTTTTTCTAGATCTGTGTAATAAGATGTTGGTATTTTGATGAAAATTGTGTTGAATCTAAGATTTTTATTTTAAGAGCATAAGAATGGTTCCAATTGTATTTCATCATATCGATAGGTTTAAAAAGAGAAAAAATGGATAGATTTGGAAAACTACTTTTGATTAAAAGAGAGAAAAAGTAAAAATTAGGAATAGATGAAACTTACTGTAAGCTGATAGAGTATTTGAAAAATAAAACAGCGAACAACGTTAAACAGAAAAATTATTTAAATTTGAAAATAAGGCAAAAAGATGGGTGGCATGTCCTTTTAATGTCACACTGGAGCATTGTTTCACAGATACTTGCTTTACAAATAACAGATTATTTGATTGTTTGGAGCAGTGGTTCTCAAACTTTAGAGTGCACCGTAATCGCCTGCAGGGCTTGTTCAAACAGAGATTGCCAAGCCCAACACCAGAGTTTCTGATTTAGTAGGTTTGAGGTGGGACCTGAGCATCTGAATTTCCAAGTTCCCAGATGATGCTGATGCTTCCAGTTTGGGGACCATGATTTGAAAATCACTAATGTAGGAAAATGTACCTGAGAAGTTATAGGTTAACTTACAGATTTCTGTTCAGTAGAAAAGATAACCCCAAAGATGACAGATTTATTTCCCTATAGGACGTTAACAGTTTTTGTGTCTAACTCAGCATGCATTTCAAAATGGCTTTCCTGGCGCACTATAGATACTGTGTCTCAAAATGCCCCTTGAACTAGCTCCACCATCTTACTGATTCTCTCATGAATTAAATATGATATCTGCCACACTCCCTCTCCCCCCACACACCTGGCCTCCCTGCCCTGCGGGCTGTTAAAAGCAGAAGTGGTTCCACCTGCACTAGTTGGAGAAGGGCCTTAGGAATCACCTATTGGGGGATTAGTTCCACCTTCATTCATTCATTCATTAACTCATTCGCTCAACACATATCTGCTGAGCATTTTCCTGTGCCAGCCTGGGGTGATGCACCAAGCAGATTTGTGTCCCGAGGAGCTCCCCTCTGTTTGGAGAAGACAGACTGGCAGACGCGTGGACCATGAGGCATCCCCTGGTTAAGGGGCACCTGGGGCTGGATGCAGGGGAGGGCTCACCTGCAGGAGGGGCGGTGGGTGTGACTGGGAGGGAGGC